TGTGGGGTTTTTTTTTTTTTTTTTTTTTTTTTTTTTTTTTTTGCATTTTTTACGCCTGGATGGTTCCTCCACAGGCATTAGAAAATTCATATTTTGACAGCTGACACAGGAGGAACTCAATAGCACGTTGAACGATACATTAATTATGGCTGATGAACACTGCAATTCCTGTGGAAATCTCCACAGTGCTCTAATTTATGCCGAGTGGATTCATTGTGGTTGGTGTGATTTAAAATGAAAAAGAATTGTTCTAATAGGAAAATGGCTTTCAAAATAAATTAGTATTTTTTTCAGAAATCAAATAGCCAAGTGAATGTAAGTCACAGAGGGGAAAAAAATAGTGTATCTTTTGTTAGAAAGTTCTTCCTAACACATGAGTGTAGGTTCTTACCAAAATCATGTAATGAACCTGGATTATCTTCCTTCTCGTATTCGTAATACCTTGAGAGCAGTTTAGAGGAAAGAATATCAAAGTGAGGGGGTTTAGTTCCACTCTAAGTTAGGGTTAGGAGCCAAGTTAGGGTTTGGACTGCTGTGCCGATGGGTTGGTTAGATGGTGTGGTTGGCACTGTGGCCTTCTGAGCATTTTGGAGTAAATGTAGCTCTAAAGTGACAACTAGGGGCTAGCAAAGGAAAGGAAGAAGGGAGACAGGTGGCCAAAGTCAAAGATTTTGAGTAAAAAGGCACGTTGCCTGGGCGTAGTGTTTCTGTATGTGCGTGTCTATATATGCAGTATATATCCATATGTTTGTACAATCGTGGTCAAGTTGTGATCTGTAATTACATCATCTTTGATATGATTTTATGTGTATTCCTTCTTTTACATTGCTCCAACTTCCAGTTTTTATTTTCTATAATTATTTTTGCTGTAATTTTCACCTAGATTTGTATCCAAGGTACTTTAGATAACTGCCCATGCTTGACTTTGTAGTTGTGTGAGCCATTGTGCTCCTGTTCCTGGATATGCTTCTCTATGTATATAGGAGTACTCCTGTACAAAGGTGTGGACTTCAGATGCAAGTCTGGTTATCCTGCATGCTTGCATGCCTCAGGGTATTAGAAGATTTAGTTTACAATCCAGCCTACGTCAACTGGAGACAACCTCTCTTGGAAGGCATGTGCACAGAATAGCTCAGCAGGGTTGATGGCTGAAATACGACTGACAGATTTTAATAGTGAGGGAGCAGCTCCTGCCCTGGACTTTGATCTCTTACCCACACAATCCTCTCCTTTTGCATTTCACGGTGTTGCGTGTATTTTAATGGACAGGATCTTTTCTCAGGAGCCACTGAAAAATGTGGGAATTGTGCCTTCTTGCACACGTGCACGTGTTTTTGCCCCCTTTGATTTGAAGAAAAATGAAGAGCTTAAGTCTACTTAATCCCCAAAATGGTTTCTCTGGTCTCTCAACTTTGTGTGTTACTGATGACAAGATATAACCTTTCTGGTAGCCAGGGCTGAGTGCCATGTGCAGGAGCACCCTACGGGCTGTTGACTTACCCCTGGGCATCGTGGAGTTTTGGCTGGGTGGGACAGATAGGGGCTTCTAGATTTTCCAAATCCTGCTCAGCAGCAGAAGATGGGAGGGATTTGACTCTGTATTTTCTATAACTCCTGGCTGATGTCTCCTGGGAGTGGTTGGGGAACGCTTGTACAGGTGCACTTCTCACAGCACAGCAGTGCAATTGAAGATGGCTTCTATATTAAGTAAAATGCAGAGGACAGGCCACATGGGATTTTAAAGGCAAGTCAGGCAGGTGTTTGAGGAATGGGACAACTCGTGGCTAAACCCCATGGGTAGCTGTGTTCCTCCTGTGCAGCAAACACCCTGGAGATGCAGTTTATTTTCAGTCAAGTTGGCTTAATAAAAACTCTGCCGCTGGGATAGATCATCCCATGAGATCAGTTGTAGCCACCTGTACATTTCAGTGAAGATTCAGTAGGCCAGTGAAGAGCCCCAGATTGGTACAACTCAGACCCACTGTCCCTCTCACAGAAGCTGGTGAGAGATTTGTCACCCCATGGGACATGATCCAGAAGAGCCTGCTCTGTGAGCCCTGACCCCAGGAACCGGCATCATGATTTCTCCCACTGTTGAGGTCCATCACAGGACCTCTCTGCCTTCCCACCAGGACCAACCTTCCAAACAGCAAATGATAAAGGCATTGTAGAGGCTTTTCAGAGATAAACCCAGCAGGGAAAAAAATTGACGCTTAAATGCAATTTAGCTGAGAAAGAAAACGTTCACGTCTGGCAGAGTTTAGAGACTACATTCAGGCCTGAAATAGTCTGGAACGTGGATCTGAAGACCTAAGACCACATCCAAGAGTTGGCCTTTTGTAATTCAAACCCTGCAGCTTTGATCTATGTCTTGAAAGCACAAGGGACAAAATTAAAGGACACAATCAAGGTGAACAGGCACTCTCATGTGAGCATGGGAAACCTTTTCAGCTGAGGTGATTTCATTTCTAGCTCCCAGGAGCTTGAAAACCCCAAACATTTTCAGGCCAACAAAAGCCAAGTTCTGTCAGAAAAACTTGTCAGACCAATGTTAGAAACACAAGCAAACTCTTTTTTTGATTTCTGACCATAAAAACTTCTTTCAGCAATCTTAGCATGTGATTCTCTGGGGTTTGGGTGGCATTTTTTTCCTCCTCCTCATGCTTTCTGAACATTGAAGCTTCCCGATGGCCTCAAATCTGCAGCCTGCCCCGAGAGGGCACCTACAGACTCAGCCAGACTTGGAGCTGGTTTATGTTATGGTGGTAAAGAAACAGAAATTGTTGTGACCCTCGTCTGCCAAACAACTTGGCACAGTCACAGCTGGGTTTGCTGGGGATCAGAGATGCTGTGCCAGGGCAGCCTGTTTCTTTGTGTGTGTGTGTGTGTGTGTGTGTGTGTAAAACCCAAAACACAAGAGTTATACTTCTTTAAATGAAATACTTGATAATGCTCTTTGATATTAACAAACCAGAGAGTTTCTAGAGTCTTTGCTTCCTGCAAACAGACTTGACCAATGCAGGTATTGTTAGACTGTCCAATTTCTGGCTTTGCTATATCCCAGATAAATCATTTCCAGGATGAAGAGGGTATTTCAGTCTTCAGGTTCATTTAGCTCCTGTCTTCGGGCAATTAACAGCAGCAGTTTCCCGCCCCTGGGTGGAACTTCTTGGGGGAAGACCTGTGAGGTTTTATTTTTTAATGCTTATGTCCAATTTCTAAATATGGCTTTTATATTTTCCTGTATTTCTCTAAGGCAGGTAACACACCTCTTCACCTGGCTTGCCAGAATAGCCATTCCCAGAGTACTCGTGTTTTGCTACTTGGAGGATCTCGAGCAGACCTTAAAAATAATGTGAGTTTTGAAAAGAAAGGTTCATTTTTATTTGCCTTTGTTTTCGCTACGTTACTTGTAGAAATATTAGCTGTATTAACTTGTAGAAATACTCAGAAATGCTTTAAAGCTGTGATTTTACTATAAATGCTATTGATAAATACACTAACAAACCATTGTATACATCATGTACATCATGCTTTAGGTAGGACTGAGTGATGCACTCCTTGTACCCATCTCTTGAGTGGGGATGGAAGGAGCCAGAGGGGGTTTTGCTGTTGCACAGACCAAGGCAGCTCATCCTTTGCTGCTTTTTGTGGTCCTGATGGCCTGACCCATACGCTGTCGTGCAATTCTGCAAGAAGATGGAAATCTTAAAGGGGTTTTGTGCCAGAGCAGGGAAAGCTTTCAGACCTGTCCTCGCTGAGACAGCTAATATATGCGGTGTGTCAGTCTGTCAAATGAGGTAGATTCAAGGTGACTTCAATTTCAGATAGCTTTCTTCCTGTGTTATAGTGATTCTGGCATGACAAAGCGGGGAAAAAAATCTACAAAGGGAAGCCAGATGTTTTTTTCCTGCTCAGTAACAAGATGGGCAGAGGCACACAGAAATGGAAACCTGTGGGGTGCTGGTCCCAGCTCCCAGCTACACATGTGCCACCTCTCATGGGGACACCGCTCTGGCCTCCACTCCTCATGTTTTATTCACTGTGCACAAGACCCCGTTGAGTTTCCAAGTCACATGGGTTTGTGGTTTAGAAGAGCAGATTTAATGTAAAAATGTAAATTGGGGTTTGTAGTGTGGTAAACCAGCATTTTTATAATTCCAGTATTTCCCATCGGTGGTTAAAGAATTTGTACCCCCACCTTGCCTGACCTTAGCTCTTGCTAAACCTTCCCAGCCATGTTAGTAGACATTTTATACTGCAGAGAAGGCAGCATTGCTGCTCGGTGAAGCTGTGTGAGATTTGCTGCTCTTTTTTTGGTTTAATAGGATTATTTCATCCCTGAACCCCATGACGAGTGCGAGCTTTCTTACTGTGATTACGTGCTCAGAGCTTTGTTTCTGTTTGCAGGCAGGAGATACCTGTCTGCATGTGGCTGCTCGTTATAATCACTTGCCCATCGTTAGGGTGCTGCTCAGTGCTTTCTGTTCTGTCCATGAAAAGAACCAGGTCAGTGCATGAACCTCATTGCGACTCCGTGCCTTATTATTTTGCCATCGCATTTGCATCATTTCTTTAAAGCGTTGCCTATTTGTGAGGTTCTGCAGTTGGTGTAGAAAAAGGGGTTTGGGACAGGGAGGGGTGGGGGTCTAGGGGTAGGGGTTGGTTCTCCTGGGTCCTTACCACTTCTGTGCAGAATGGGACTGGGCAAGAGGCTCGATCGTTTCATGGAGGCCCCATTGTCTCCTCTGTAACTAGGATTTAATGATCCTGTGGCCATTACAGAGCCATTGTAAAGCAGAACTCACTCATGGTCAGATGCTACAAAAGTGCAGAATCCTCTGGAATACTTTTCTTTGCTGCATTTTGCAGTAGGGGGGTTTAAAAGGACATAAAAGTGAAGAAAAAGTATGCTTTAAATTCCAAGTAACGATCAGTCTAACCTAGGATTAATCGTCCATAGTTGTTTTATAGAGAAGTAATTGATTGCTGTGCCCATAACATTGCCTAATTGGGTGGTAGAAGGGAATGGATTTAGTACATTAAAATGTGTTAAATCTGCTAAATAAACAGATTATGTGGTGCTTAACCACATCGTCTCATGTTCCTGGGAAATTTTCCATGTGTGGTTGAGGATCATTAAGATGTTTTCTGATCTGCACGTTTAATGTTGTTTCTTAGGTATGAGATATTACAGCAAACAAAATGGGTTTCAGCATGTTAAATTTACTATGTAATTTTATTTGGAAATGAGTTTTTTAAACTTGCAAAATGAGCTACTGAATATTAAGATGAACTGGTGTGAACCTGGCATGAAGAGACACCCCCTTCCTTCATTCCCCAGGACTCCCCAAAGTTGTTCATCTTTGCACATATGATGATTTTATTCATGGACGTCCCCCATCCAAGTCAGCACCGAGCGATAGATTTCCACGAGTCTCGGGGAGATCTCATTTTCTGAAGGCAAAATGGAAGGCAAAGGGGACAAGAGGGCATTATATGCACATGTCCCATCTCCTTTGAGCAGCTGGGGGCTCTGTTACCGGTGCCTGGATCCGATCGTAGCTGTTTTCACCTCGCTGCACCGGGACAAGGGCAGGGCAATATGTTACTGCTGGACCCAGGTCTACTCCTGGCTTTGGTCCAAAACCTGCTTTTCTTGAGGAATCTCATGAAGAGAAGACCAGCCGTCCGTCTCGCTGCTGGTACTTACCTGATGAGTTTTGAGTAAGGTGATACGTGACCACCTGTGCACCAGATAATCGAGGGGGGGGGGGGGGGGAAAGGAGAAGGTTGTGGTGGGGAAACCGGTTCTGCCCTCAGATGTCGTATCCGTTTGCTGGCGGCGGAGCTGGGCTGTCTCCAAGCTGTGTTGTGTGTCACTGGGTTCAGTGAGCTCCTTGCCCCCTCCTGTCCCCTTCCTCCTCCTGTCCCTTTTATTATTGAGCTGGCCTTGTTGAAGCTTAGTTGCCTTTTCAGTGACTGTAGGTCTTCTGAGCTCTGAGCATCTTCTAGGAAGGTGTGATTTCTGCAGGGTGAGAGCCGAGGGCGTGTGTTACACGGCTGCTTTCTGCTTTGTAACTCGCAGGCAGGAGACACTGCACTCCATGTGGCTGCTGCTCTGAACCACAGGAAGGTGGTTAAGCTGTTGCTGGAGGCAGGGGCTGATGCATCCGTTGTCAACAACGTAAGTAGGACGTGGAGTTTCTTTGGGATGCTGTAGTACAATCATAGAATGATAGAATGGTTTGGGTTGGAAGGGACCTTAAAGCTCATCCAGTTCCAACCCCCTGCCCTGGGCAGGGACACCTCCCACCAGACCAGGTTGCTCAAAGCCCCATCCAGCCTGGCCTTGAACCCCTCCAGGGATGGGGCAGCCACAGCTTCTCTGGGCAACCTGTTCCAGGGTCTCACCACCCTCACAGGAAAGAATTTCTTCCTAATATCTCATCTAAATCTCCCCTCTTTCAGTTTAAAACCATTACCCCTCATCCTATTGCTATATTCCCTGATCAAGAGTCCCTCCCCACCTCTCCTGTAGCCCCCTTCAGGTACTGGAAGGCTGCCATAAGGTCTCCCCAGAGCCTTCTCTTCTCCAGGCTGAACAACCCCAACTCTGTCTTAATGCAGACTCTCTTCACCACTCTCTCTAGCGTTGGTAGAAAATACTGGGTGTTAGAGTTGAATTAAATCTGGGTAAATGAAAGCAGTTAGTCACTGTGCTCTTGTGCACAGAGCATGTTTTAACCTCAGCTGTAGAAACTTCACATTTCCTGCAGCCTGGGTTTTGAAGGAAATGCTCTTTTCTTTTTCTTCTCAGGCAGGTCAGACCCCTCTAGAGGTTGCCAGACAGCACAATAACCCTGAGGTTGCGCTCCTCCTCACTAAAGCATCACAGGTACGTTACAGATCTCTCCCCAACATACACAGACATGTGGACCTGAGGCCACTTGACCTAGGGAGGCCACATCTCCTGGTCCTTAACCTTCTGCTCTGAAGGTGCCTACGTTTCTGCTGTTCCTGTGTGCTGGCCTCAAGTCTACTGACGTGGAGCCTTCACCCCCAAGCCCAGCAAGGTGTGCAGGTTAAGCCTCAGCATTAAGGGCTGGCAGAGGGTCCTGGCTGTCCTGACTGGCTGAGGATGGAGCAGCCAGAGGCACTTGTTGCCTGTGGTGGCCCTGTACCCAAAAGCTCTCAGGTTGTGTCCCTCTGCTGCCTGCCTCAGACTTCTCCCATCCCCTAGGTGGTTGCTCAGGCTGGAAGATGCTTTGAAATGGGGACAAAATGTCCTGTTTATGCTTTGCTGCTGTGTGTGAAATGCTACAATGCTCTTGTAGGGGCTGGAAGGCACATGGGAGGGCTCTGGATTCTGGTAGAGACCAGTAGATCCCTTCCCTGCTCCTCCTTGTCACCTCAGCGAGAGCAGGACTGGGCTTGGCTTGGTAACTTGCCCAGGGGCACAAAGGGACAGAGGAGGAGGCTCTTACCCCTCCAAGAGACAGCAAAGTGTCCTGATGGACTTTGTGGTGAAAACACACCACCACTGAGCTATGGGCATCCTCATGGCTTGGCCCATCAGCATCCACCTGGCAGTGTGCTTCCTTTCATGTATTGCCTTCCAGGAGAGGTGAGAAGAAGCAGCTTGGCTTCTGTGTCAGGAAAGAGCACGACATCACTGAGTAACAGTGTGGTCTGCCTTCAGGTCTCACGCTTTAACCGTGGAAGAAGCCTGAGGAAGAAGAGAGAGAGGCTGAAGGAGGAAAGGCGGGCACAGTCGGTACCACGGGATGAAGTGGTGCAGAGCAAGGTACGGCCTGGCATCACCAGGTGCTTCTGCTGCAAGGAGGGAGCGTCAATAAAACCCATCAGGACTAAATCTATTTGGAGCCATCACTTGGGCATGACCACGGCAGCAGTCTGGGGCAGCCTGTTGTGCTTTGTGGCTAAAGAGTTGCTCGCTTACGTGTGCAGAGCAGGTGAAAAGTGGGAAATGGAAGAAAAAGCACATTTTCCCCAACTTTGCTCTGACCTCTCTGTCTTTGCTTGGAGCAGGGCAGCGTCTCGGCTGCTGACGACACCCCGAGCAGCGACCAGCCACCGCAGGGGAAGAGCGAGCTGAAGGATGAGCCCCGGTCGACCTCGCCAGACCCCAAAGGGAAGAAGAGCAAAAAGAAAAAGCCGAAGGAAAAGGTATCATCAGGAATTTTAAAGCAGCAGAGAGAGAAGGGATGGCTGTTGAGCAACAGTAGGGGTGTCCCTGTGGCGTGTTGGGGAGCCAGGGCAGCAGCCCCACCGTGCTCGTGGGGTGGAAATTTGTGTGGAAACCTCATTATTGTGTTGAGACACCAATGTTATGGCCAGCCGCTGCAGCTGGATTGGTGTTTAATCAGGTTTTTGTTGTAATTATCACCATGGATTTGTCTAGTTTTTACCAGGGGGGTCATAAATAGAGGGAAAATGTTGTGTGGATGTTCTGCAGGTTTCAGCACTCTCGGATCCCATCTCCCCGGCGGATCAGCAGACGCTGCCTCGGCCCCAGCAGAACGTGCCCAAGCGCAGAAGCAAACACCACTGCTCCTCTCCACCCCCACCACACGAGGTCCGCGCCTACCAGCTCTACACGCTCTACCGTGGCAGGGATGGGAAGGTGATGCAGGTGAGGAGGGCCCTCCTTCGGGCTTCAGCTGCGTTTTGGCCTGAAGTCTGGGCAACAAAAAGCTGTTGTTGTGCGTGCTGAGGGTGTCATACTTCACTGATTTTGATCTACAACCTCTTTCCTTCTTTGAAACGAGGTTTGAACAGTGATTGGAAATCCCACTGGAGCTTCTGTGATGATACACTTTGAAATATTAGGATTTGCAGCAGGAAATGCAAAGAGCTTTGCCAATGAAAAATGAAAGCAGCATGTACATGGAAGCCTGCTGCCGAAACCTTGAGAGTTTGAGTGCTCTCAATGTATTTTGTTTCAATTCTGTTTATTACAACATGTTCAAGGCCAGGCTTGATGGGGCTTTGAGCAACCTGGTCTGGTGGGAGGTGTCCCTGCCCAGGGCAGGGGGTTGGAACTAGATGATCTTTAAGGTCCCTTCCAACCCGAACCATTCTATGATTCTCTGTTTTTGGGGATTCTAGGGTTACTGGAGGCAGGAGTGGTACAGAAACTGGTTTACGAATGAACCAGGAGGTACCGCTCAAGTGCATTTATTCCAGTTTAGAGACTGATAATTTACTCCACTCGATTTATTTTATTCCACAGGTATTTACTATATTATAAAAGAGCATGAAAACAGCCAGCTAATCACCCTGTAGACATTGTAAACTTCTGCACTGTTGCTTTCTTAATACTGCCCTCCTTTACCTCTGGGAGGTAAATCCTTTCATTTCCTCAGCTTCTCACATCCATCCACCAGCTCTCCTCAGTCCCTTGCTGGACTTAAGAAATTCAGCAGATTCTGAAGATCACTCAAGTCAGACTTCAGAGGTTTTACTGGGCGTGTTTTCCAACATCTCGCTGTGTAACACTTGGGAAATTTCCAAATAGGGGCACTATGGGATTATCCGAAGAGCAGACATCGGGAGGGATGGAGGGAGGACATTTCAGATGTTAAAAGGGGTATCTCCCTGCCCCCAGGATCTGATGGTAGGAGGATGGGCCAATAGGAAAGATTTGGGGAGCAGGAAAAAAGGTGCAAAGATTGGAGAGGATTTGGATACAGATCTAATCTACTCACAAAGATCAGGTTAACGCCACTAGACTTCCTTAGAGCATTTACTGAAACACGTGACGCTCCTCTCTCCCCTTCTTTTTTCACTTGTCTGTCTTCTTTGATGCCCTCAGGCCCTGAATAGCAAACAGAAGTTTTTAAGTCCATGTATTTCTGAAGCTTTTTCTCAAACCATCCCCCTTCCCCTGCCAAGGGAAGAACCCCCAGTTTGGGAACCAGGACTGCGAGGCCACAGGAGTAGGGCAGTGATGGTGCCTCTGGACTGGGCATTGGTGAGGCCTCACCTCGAGGGCTGTGTTCAGTTCTGGGCCCCTCACTACAAGGTGGACATTGAAGTGCTGGAGTGTGTCCAGAGGAGAGCCACCAAGCTGGTGAGGGGTCTAGAGAACAAGTCTAATGAGGAGAGGCTGAGGGAACTGGGCATGTTTAGCTTGGAGAAGAGGAGGCTGAGGGGGGGACCTCATTGCCCTCTACAATGGCCTGAAAGGAGGTTGTAGAGAGGTGGGGGTTGGCCTCTTTGCCCAAGGGAATAATGACAGGAGCAGAGGAAATGGTCTAAAGTTGGGGCAGGGGAGGTTTAGATTAGATATTGGCAAGAATTACTTTCCTGAGAGGGTGGTCGGGCCCTGGAACAGCCTGCCCAGGGAGGTGGTGGAGTCACCATCCCTGGAGGTATTTAAGAAACGAGTAGACGTGGCTCTTCAGGGCATGCTCTAGTGCCTGAGATTGTGGGGGTCTTTTGTGTGTGTGCGGTTGGACTCTGTGATCTCAGAGGTCCTTTCCAGCCATGAAGAGTCTGTGATTCTGTGCAGAGGAGCCCTGGGATGGTTCCATGTGGGTCAGAGGAAGGCTGCACAGCAGGCAAGGGTCAGCTGAACGCCAGCAGGGTGAAGGACACAGGAGCAGTGAGCCCTCCCCACACAGTGCACGGCAAAAACAAGCACAAGATATGTCCGTATAAATCAGATCAATCCTTTTTCAGTCTCTGCTTTCCCAACTGCTGGCCTGTTGGCTGAGCTACCGTCAGAGGTTATGGGGAAGGTGAGACACGTGGAACAGAAGAGCCCAAGACTGACTGGAGGAAGCTGTGATCATGTTCCAAGTGCAGGAAGAGGACAGCGGGGTGTAGCAAGTAAATGTGTTGCTCCTTTCAGGCGCCGATAAATGGATGTCGTTGTGAGCCCCTGATAAATAAACTGGAGAATCAGCTGGAGGCAACGGTGGAAGAGATAAAAGCTGAGTTTGGGACAGTACAAGATAAGATGAACGCTAAGCTGGGCCAGATAGAAAGCAAAACTCAACACCAAGTAAGAATATCACCCGGGGGTCTGCTTGCCCACATGACTATCAGAAACATATCCTGAGCTTAATGAATATTTTCATTGTCATGGTTCGTTTATTCCTTCTTGTCTTGCAAAAGCAAACCTGATACCTAATACTCAAGACCAGGGAACTGTGACATTCCACAGGGATCTAATGTTGCAAACTAAGGTCTTGAGAAAAACACATTTAATGTGTTAAGTGGCTTTCAGGGTCTTTTTTAGACAATAAATCTAATGCTTGAGGCCCTAAGAGGGAAACTGAAAGGCAGTCCTACAGCTGAGCAGTTCATAATTGTAAAAACCCCTCTTGCTGAATTCTGTTTGGACTGAGATTCAAGATCCTCTAAATTATTTTTTATTTTGACTGTAATTGTTATTCCTCGGTAATTTTGTGCTTGAACCTTTTTGCAAGCTACCTCTAATTGTGTTTGGCAGCCTTCCTAGAAACAAAGGCTGGGAGATAGGCTGTGCTGTGACTTACAAGGTTCACAGACTGGGGGGAGAAAGGGGCGGGGGTTGTTTGGTTTTGAATGTGATCATCTCAGCTAAATTGTGGTTGGTTTGGTTCTCCCCAGCTCCGTGTTCTGGACAAGCTGATGGCGGAGCGGCTGTCGGCGGAGAGAACGGAGTGCCTGCACCGCCTGCAGCAGCACACCCAGCTGGAGAAGAACGAGGGGGAGAAACGGCAGGTAGGGCTTCTAGCAGCTTCTCCTCGTTAGCTCAGATCACAGAATCACAGAATCTTAGTGGTTGGAAGGGACCTCTGAGATCGAGTCCAACCACAAAAAAAAAAAAAAAAAACCCAACAAAAAAACCCCCCACGCACCAAATACAAAACACACCACACCAAACGCCCACCAAAAACACTGCACCCACCAACTAAACCCCACACTCAACACCTCACCATAAACCAATAACCTTGGGCACTAGAGCATGCCCTGAAGAGCCATGTCTACACGTTTCTTAAATACCTCCAGGGATGGTGACTCCACCACCTCCCTGGGCAGGCTGTTCCAGTGCCTGACCACTCTCTCAGTAAAGTAGTTCTTTCTAATATCTAATCTAAATCTCCCCTGCCCCAACTTCAGACCATTTCCTCTGGTCTTGTCATTTGTCCTTTGGGAGAAGAGGCCAACACCTGCCTCTCTACAACCTCCTTTCAGGTAGTTGTAGAGGGCAATGAGGTCTCCCCTCAGCCTCCTCTTCTCCAAACTAAACATGCCCAGTTCCCTCAGCCTCTCCTCATAGGACTTGTTCTCCAGCCCCCTCACCAGCTTGGTGGCTCTCCTCTGGACAAAGTCTGCTCAAGAGTTTTTCCTTCCAGCAAGCAGAGAGAATAGCGGGAGATTTATCTCATCTCTTGAAACGGGCAAAAAAAGCTTCAAAGACCGAATTATTCCAATCCACCACCTTAATCTCCACACCAGATTTAAAACTCTTTTGCATTAGAAATGGAGAATGTGAAATCTGGTCCCTCTGTCATCATTTAATTTGCTGGGTCTGAAGTGTGGGATCTGTAACAGAATAGCTTTATTTCTAACATGGTGCTTTGCAAAAATTTCATACCCTTAAATTTTTTGTTTCGTGAAGGGCCACCTGCAGGAACACCTGCAAACAATAACAAAGGCTGAGATCTGCCCCGATCCTTTTACTTCCCATCCCTTTGGTTACGTGTCCCAGGAATCCCTCCCTTCTTCTCTGCCTGATCCCTTTTTTCCCTCCGTGTTCTCCCCCCCTGACCTGGGCAGTGTTGTACCAGCTCCAGGCTGGGTGTTCCTGCCCAACAGGCAAGTTTTTTTTATCCACTCGTTTAACCAGCGTTTCAGGAGTAACTGTTCCCATAGAGATCCAGCTCTCGCCCTTCTACCTGCTGCAAAACTCACTGCTAACACGTGCCAAGGAGTTTGTGTTTTTCCCCTCACGCAGGTAAATTTAAAATATGATTATTTTTCTCATTATTGGTATTCTTCTAAGAATTCAGAAATACGCTTTGTTGCTAGTAAAAGGTCTTTTTGTAAGACTGTTCCAAATCCACGTTAAAAGCCTGGCAGCTGTGACAGTCTCAGCAAAAACTATTGATTAAGATACTCTGGTCTAACATCTGCAAATTACTTTTCTTAGAAGTGAGACTGGAGCGATACATCAGGTGAACTGAAATCACCAATAAGTGGTATCAGCTGCTACTGTTCTGCTGGGTCTAATTGAAACTACTGGAAAACTGAGTTGGGCTTTACTAAAGGCATGGACTAAATGGTCAGGGATAGAACAAGAGGAAATGGGCACAAACTTGAACATCAGAAGTTCCATCTAAACATGAGGAGGAACTTCTTCACTTTGAGGATGGCAGAGCCCTGGCAGAGGCTGCCCAGAGAGGTGGTGGAGTCTCCTTCTCTGGAGACATTCCAAGCCCTCCTGGACACGTTCCTGTGGGACCTGCTCTGGGTGGACCTGCTGTGGCAGGGGGTTGGACTGGATGATCTCCAGAGGTCCCTTCCAACCCCATATCATTCTGTCGTTCTTTGACCTAAATTCGTGATGTCATACGAACGAGAGGGTAAAAGAGCTGCTTGTATTTTAAATGATTACTGGCAGCTGACCCTTACTGAGCACCTTTGTAATTTGAAAGCTGTTAGTGATTTATCATGTAGTGTTGGACTCATCCTCATCACCGAAGGAACAGAGGAGCAGAGGTCAGTAATGGTATAAAGCCGTGTCCCAGAAGTGCCCAATTTGAATTTCGCTCTTGAAAAATGGCAGCTTTGACCACGTGTCAAAGCTCCTTGCACTTAGAAAGTACCATTGACTGGATGATTAAACAAGTCAGCCTTGATCAGAGGAGTGAGAGCTGCATTTGAAGTAGCACATTCAAATCTAAGAGGTGGCAGCTTGGACTAAAGAGGGTGCCTTCCATTAGCTAATGCATAATTCCTCATCTTTTCTCATTTGCAGCCCGTTCAATATTCCCAGTGGCAGCACCTACAGGGGGTCTAAGCCCACAGATAACACGCTTGCTTCTCTTTGTCCCTGCCACAGGAACCATAGTATCTAATCACAGGATCTAATAATCTAATTTACAGTCTCTTTGTTATAGATTTCCTTGGTCGATGAGCTGAAGACGTGGTGCCTGTTGAAGATTCAGAATCTGGAGCTCAAGCTTTCCGGTGATTCTAGGTCATCCAGACCCAAATCAACTTTGTCCACTTGTGAGTCCCTCACCGAGACCCTGGACACGGAGAACAACCCCCAGAGTGCCAAGGACTGTAAAGCCACCCAGCCCCTGCTGCAGCCCGAGGGCTCCCACCAGCATTCCTACGTCACGCTCCCAAACAGCCTCTCGGAAGAGGGGGGAAGGAGCAGAGCCCAGGTGCCAGAACACAACTTTGGGCAACATTTCTGCATTCAGCAAGACGGTGCATCAGGTACAAGCTTGTCAGGTACTTGGATGTCTAATTCAAAGGGGAGCTAATTAACTGAGGGATACTCGTATTAATACCACAGATATTAATTCTGGCTATGTGCTTTTCCCCATCCATATGCATAATATTTTTGGAATTAGAATATAGTTCAAGTCACCCACTAGGAATATTTTAAGACCCAGTTGGGTGGAATTTCCAGTGGCTCCTCCTGATGCTTCCATGTCCCTGTGTCTTTGAAGCTGAGTCCTTTGATGCTCGAAATAACTCTGTTTTCTGAAATTTCTCCAGCTTCCCAGTCAGAATTGCTCCTAGAATTGTCTGTCGGGAAGGTGTGTGGATTATCCAAAATCTACTGAAGAAAGTGTTTTGTGTTTAGTGCTTTTCAGATGTACAGAACCTATAACAGCAGGGTGCCAGGATGTGAACCTCAAACACTCATTTCCCTTGGTAATATTCAAACTGCAAGGATCTAGAATAAACCTCTCACTTCTCTTTCTTTGAACCAAAGCCTGTTTAATTATTAGTTCATTTGACAAGAACAAAACCAGCTGAGAACATTCAAGCCCATTCAGCAATCGTGGCTCCCTGAGAGATATAAAGACCTGGGTTCAAGCCACCTCTCTGTGCTTGGCTGGGGAAGGTTTTGAGGAGAAAGGAAACAAGCAGAATTCCCGGCTTTCCACAGCCAAGGAGAGTGCTAGGAAAGCCCTGGGATTCTGTAAAATACATTGTATATGCCCCCCAAAAGACTATGCGAAGTGAACAGACATGGACATGGATACCCCATCAGACTAGAAAGTCAGAAGACCACACAGCTCTTGTGGCAGCTTGGGTGTGAGCTCCACTGCCCTGAACGCTTCAGAGGCACCAAAATGTGTTCTTTTTGCAAAATTAGTGGGGTTCAATTCTTGTAGAAGCAGGGGATTCACTGATACCAGCAGATGTAACCTCCTTTGGGGATCCAGCCTGATCTTTGTTGTGTGTCCTTCTGGCAAAGTCCTTTGTTGTCAGCGTAGTCCCCTGCCGCAATGCAGTCCCTCTCTGCCCGAGCCAGCTCTTCTCTTTTAATGAACCTTTAATGTAATGATCACCCCGATGGTGAAGATGCGATAAACTAATCCAGCCTCTACAAGGCAGACACAGCATGGTACCTGAGAAACCACAACTCTCGTAGAGCAACGAGGACTTCTGAATGCTAAAAATCAATGCCCAGGGCTTTTCTAAATATATATGTATGTGTTTTATTCTGTAGGTACCGAGCAACAGTTACTGGTTGGTGGGCCAGGTTCTTCTTCTGCCCTTGCTCAAGATGTCAGGCCAAAGGACAAAGCTGTTAGTGCTGGCACGTTCCACAGGTTCCCCCAGGAGCTGCCCTCCTCCGAGCTTCTGGGCTCCAAGTTAAGACACGTGAAGGTTCAAGCTGCTCTGCAGCCCTTGCCCGAACCCGTGAGGACCGACATCTTCATCGACAGAGGAACTCAGACAAAGAAGTCCAGCAAGAGCGGGCAGCCGAGGCACAAAGCTCCGCATCAGAGCCAGGAGCAGCAGGTGGGGGGACAGCCGGGGGGACAGCAAGGGGGACAGGCACCTGCCCCCCAACTCAGAGACACCTCCCAGGCCCTGGAGATAACGCAGTACTTCTTCGAGGCCGTTTCCACCCAGATGGAGAAGTGGTACGAACGGAAGATAGAGGAAGCCCGGTGCCAAGCCAACCAGAAGGCCCAGCAAGACAAAGCCGCGCTCAAGGAGCACATCAAAAGCTTAGAGGAGGAGCTCAGCAAATTAAGGACTAAGGTGCAGAAAGAGAGCTAGCATCTGCTGAGCAGGTAAAGACAAGCAACGGGACTCGTTTGGGAGCCTGCTGTACAGGAATCTGGAATATTGTTAGATATAACACGTTTGTAGTGCCTGTCATACCCAAACAAAACGCTCTTTTTCAGGAGTAGAAGTAACTTTGGAAGCTCCAGAACCGAGGAGAATCCATATGCAGACTGTACTGACGATGACGAGATGCTGCAGATCAGATCCTTTCTTTGTTATTTCCCGGAGTCCGTTAAATATTGCACTCTCAATTTCCAGGTGCTGCTTGAGAACCAACTGCATTAGACACCAAACCTGCTTCCTGAGAAGGGAATGTCCTTATTTCCCTGTGGGTCATGCGTGGCTGGAGGGTTCCACTGCACTCTGCGTGTGAGCACGTGGCCATACCAGGGCTGGTGAGGTCCTTTGAGAGGATGTTTTCTGACAGAAATTCCTTAGCGATGAAGGGCTACTGGTACTATCTCAGATACTCCCCGTGGCCTCTCTTTAGCCAGCAGAGAGAAGCTGCAGAACCAGCTCAGATCCCGAGCCCAGGGAGGTGGCAGATGGGGGCTTCCTTCTGGGAGAGGCCAGGCTCCTGCTGAGTACCATGCCAGGTGAGTCCATCCTGTTAGGTACGGAGGCTGCAGCTGCCACTTCGCTTTCCTTTTGGTTTTACATTATAAAAATCAATGCTAAATTAGTCTTTTTTTTGGTTTTTTGTTTTTTTTTTGTTTGTTTTTTTTTTTCAAGTGGTGTCCTGGTTGCACAGCTCCATGTTGTCACAGGGTTGCTGGGGCCACACTCAAGTAACCTGACTGAGGAGTTTTGTTTAGAGCACGGATGGCAAATATTTTACGATAACCACGCTCTAATTGTTAGATATAATTTTTATATAAATCTCTTTTCCTTCAAACAGCAAATGGCTCAATTCTCTACTACTGAAGAAGCCTGAAAAAGTCCTTTATCTAAAGTGAAACTTGGTTCCCTGTACTCAAATGCTTCTTTTCCTGCCGAGTCAGGATTTTCTCCCAGACACCTTGACTGTCTCCCGTTGTTCCTCTGAGTGATCCCTCACTCCGTTTTCTCCCTCTTTTCTGCTAAAAAGAGAGGCCGGGCCCCGGCGAGTCTGTAGGTCTCAGGCCAGGTTTCACCATCAGTCCCACAGAATAGAGCTCAGCAACATTTAACAGATTTTATGGGTATGTTTTGTTATAAAATTAAAACTTACAACCACCAGTGTTGTCCAGGCTGAAAGACTCCAAACAAACCATAACTCCTTGCATCTGCAGCCCTCCAGGGTTCCCTCCATTCGCCTCTGAGAAGGCTCCATCAGATTCTGGTGGAAAAGTAACTTAACAGCTGATGATGCAACTCTCCCAAACCGATTCAAATACAGGATAGTGCTGTTATGCCAACGAGAAAGAGATGATATTTTTTTTCTGTACTGAGCAGCCCTAAAATCAATTCGAAATACTTTACAGTATTGAAGACACCATTAACTAATTAGTAATTAAGCTTTCGTCTTCTTAGCAGATGTATAAAGCAAAGCAAATTGTATTATATAACAATATTTTTGAAGTTCCTACGAATGCACTATCAAGGCGAGAAAAGCATATCCGCAGTTACGGAAATATTAGTTTTTACTGCTCTGGTTTCTGTAATCTAATTTAGACATTTTTCCCATGTTTACAGTTTTGTTTAAGCTACTGTAGGAATGCAGGAGCAGGCTATTTAAGTTTTGTATCATCTTGATATCAAGTTGAATGTTTTGCCAAGCAATTAAAAGTGCGTGTTGCTCAGATGCCTGCGGTGTAACGTTCTCTGGCCGGAGGAGATGGTCACAATCCCCCTTTGCCTGACTCTGAAGGGGGAGCAGAAAACTGGGATTTCAGGCTTCTCAGCTTTTGTGTTTGTGGCTGTAAAAATGTAGAAACCAGGTTCTACCCTCTGTCCCCACTGCTGGGGGAGTTCCCGGCGCGGGGCTGAGCACACACAGGGGCTGCTGGGGAACAGCAAGGCTGTGGCTTCAGAACTCTGCTTCACACAGGAACCGCGCTGCCAAAGCAACTGTTAGGGTGCCAGAAACACACAGCAGTTAGTTTGTTGTCATTTAGACAATTATTCCATCACCCAATGATCCCTCCCCACCCGGGAAGGGGATCCAGGGAAAAACAACAACACCAGGGTTGAGATATAAATCATGTTTTATGATGTTTATTTGTTTTGGGCGCATTTATTTATCCCAAAGGCTTTTTTTTAAACCCCAAAAATTGGTGAAAATTCCCGGCACAGTAGAGAAAGAGCTGTTACCACTATGAATGTTACCACTTGAGAGGTGCCACAACAGAAAACAGACAAAATAATGTCTTGAATCTGCTGTTGTCAGTTTTGGTGCTTTCTGCCTTTCCCACAGCATGTGCTACATCATCCACTCGGTTCTTCAAAGTCCTTTCTGTCTGAGTAATTTCCACACAGGAGGGTAACCAAACTGAGAAGAGAAAGGGGGGAAAAAAAACCAAACAAAAAACCCCCCTGTAGTAGATTCTACCTTCATACATTACCAGATTGTCAGCAAAGGCCACTATTACAACCACATTCCAGGAAAAAAGTACTATTTTTTGTTCACTGTAGATGACAGTCCAGCTGTCAACAAAGTGAAGGTCAGGATTTTGCCAGCTTGAGTGCTCTCTGAAGTTCCTGAAGTTGCATGTTGCCTTGAGTAATCATCATCCTGATTGCATCCTGTAAAACAAAACACAGTCTCCTGACATGGACAGCTGTGCACAGCACAGGTTTTACACAACCACATAGGTTTTAACACATATTAAGATATTGACAATTCTCATCAGCACTGTTACGTGTTCTTGGTGTGAAGTAACGCTACAGTCACCGAGATGGTTAAAAACCAGGTGAATAAATGAATTAATTTTCTCCAATGCCTTAATGATGCGTGCATGAAATAGCTACATCTGTGCTTCAAAACTCAGTTTTGAACCAGACTCAAACTCCTGGTAATGTTTTCCTCACACCTCTGTGCCTATGCCTTCGCAAGTCAATAGCAGTAACGGCACACGGGCACGATGGAGACAGAGGATCCACACAACATGTGGATGTTTCCCTCAATGTTAATTTAATCTAATTACTGTAACGCTTTGTCTGCGTAATTCACCCACCAATTTCCTTGAGGAGTGGCGAGAAAGGGCAACAAACTAGAAAGGAAAGGAGAGGGGACGTAGGAGAAGTGTAAAGGCTTCTGCATTTCATGTCCACAACCATCCAATTTGATTTTGAATATAGTTGAAATTAAACAATGAAAAAACAGAAGCTGTAATAAAGTCAGAGTGTTAATAAGTTTATATTAGTTATCTAATATTATTCAATACATTTGTTTTGGATTTGTGATTTAGGCGAGTTGGATTTGTTTGGGTTTTAGCTTTTTAAGTCCAGATTATTACCTGGAAATCAGAGAAGACACTTATCACTGCCAACAGAGGGGATAATACTTGAGGTGCTCAGTTAGTTCTTCACACGAACGCTCCTTAAGAGAAGTTAGTGCCAGGAGCCTTCCCACCGCCCAGACATGACACTGAGGGCACCAGCCTGGTGACCACTGCACGGAGCTCATTCACAGAGTCACAGAATGATATGGGATGATAAGGGACCTCTGGAGATCATCTAGTCCAACTCCAGGGTCACCCAGAGCAGGTCCCACAGGAACGTGTCCAGGTGGGTTTGGAATGTCTCCAGAGACGGAGACTCCACCACCTCCCTGGGCAGCGTCTTCCAGGGCTCTGCCACCCTCACAGGAAAGAAGTTCCTCCTCGTGTTTAGGTGGAACTTCTTATGTTCAACTTTGTGCCTGTTCCATCTTGTCCTGTCACTGGGCACCACTGAAAAGACAGGCCCCTTCCTCCTGACACCCACCCTTTAAGTATTTATAAGCATAAACATTTAAAAATTCCTGAGGCAATCCCCATCCTCACCTCTTCTGTGGCGTTTTTATTCCTCCTGAACTCCTCCCTGGCCCAGTCCCGTAAATACCGGCGGTCTGCCTCGGCGGGCACCTCCCGGATGGCCCTCAGGATGCTCCGGTACAGCTGCAGGACCTGCTGCCGCCTCAGGAACTTGGGGGAGAGCGGGGGGGTCCGGCCGCCGTCCCGGCACAGCCGCCCCCCCACCCGCTCCCTTTGCCGTGAGGCAGCTTTAAACCAGGATCCCCCCTCGTTTTTCACGGAAGACCCAGCGCTGCTTCCAGAAGGGAAGGGACCTTTAGCATCTCCCCGCCGTGGGGGCTCACACAGGTACACACCGCGGGCGGAAGGCGCCACGGAGGCCGGGGCTCACGCACAAAACCAAGGGCGAGCTCTCCCGGCCACCCCCGCCCGCCGCGGCCCACAGCCTTCCCCCGCCTCGGCGCTGCCATTTGCCAGGCTTCTCCCCGGGGGCTTCTGTCAGCGCGGAACCGGCGCGGACACCCCGCCGCGGGATACGGCCCGCTCCGCCCCAGGCGGCGAGCGAGAAGCGGCCCAAGCTCGTACCTGCTTCAGGCTGAGGGCGCCAGGCGGGAGGCGGCTGGCGGCCATGACGCGCGGCTCCGCCTTTCCCGCCGCCGCCGGCCCTCCCTGAGGGGGCGGGTCCCAGCGGCCGCCATTTTGGGCCGGGAGCCCGCGGTGGCAGGAGCCGTATAGGGCGGCGGAAAGACACTCTCCTCACAGAGGGAGGCTGGTCATGGCCGGGCTCCCAGAAAAGGTGGCAGCTGACGGCCCAGAGCTGCCGGGGAGCTGCGCCCGGTGCCAGGCCCGAGCGTGGCCACGGCGGGAGCTGTGAGCGGCCAGAGGTTCCTCAGCCAGGGGCACCACAGTTGTACCGGCGTCACCAGAGGCCGGGGGGAGGGGGGGCGTTTGATTCAGGTTCCCCTCGTTTTCCTTCTCCCAAAACTGCAAACAAGGCTCCACCACCAAAACGAGCACCCGAGGAACGAACAATTACCTTAGCACGGCAGGGCAGGGCGGGTGGAAGGCCTGCGCCGAGAGGGTCGGTGCTGCTGTAAGACTTAACATCTGTAAAGTCACGCTGAAGCAGTGCGGTGAGATCCAGAAGGCATCCAAGCTATCCCAGGACAATAAACCACCTCTGGCATCTTCTGGAGTCCCTGTGGCTGTGCCCAGACAGGTAATCGTCACCAACAACTTCTTCAGTACCAATGTGTCAATGAATGGAAACACGGAGCTGGCTTGCAGAGAAAAAACAAGTTAACTGATGCCTTGCCTTTCTGTGTTACTTACTCAGTGTTTGCTCGTACCAAATACAGTATTAATTTTTGTTAATTATAGTTAGAGGCAAAAAACCCAGTTGTTTAAACATTTGTGCAGCAAGCCTTGCTGATAAAATTGTCTCAGGCTGTAGTAACATCCCTGCAGCAAACCAGAGCTTGCATTTGAAGTATATTCTTGTAATCTTAACTTTTAGTTTCTAAAATACTTTCTCTAAGTTTCCTACTACAAATAATACATTCCGGAGAATTACTTAATGATTTAAACCCACCTGCTTCCACAGTTCCGTTTCCCAAAACATGTAAGTGTTTGTACGCACGTATAATAAGCATTCTAAAGAACCCTAAGGACATCATAGAGATAAATTCTGATAGGACAGAGTTCCCCTGCTGAGTTTTCAGCTCTGAAATTTGCTCCTCATTAATGAGCTATGGCAAAGCTACACAAATAGGAGAAATAACCTTGCTGGGACATTTCACACCCCTGGGTCTTGCCACTGCTGCATCTCGGAACAGAAAAACCTTACTGGATGTATTGCTGTACCTACCAAAAGCCAAAGAAAACAATCATTTTCTGGTCCACTGCACCACATTTAGAAGGAGACACCTTCAATTTTAGTACACAAAGAAAAGACTTCAAAGATTGTTTAGACCAAGGGCATTTAAACAAAGTTTCCCTTCAGATTTTTCACTGAGAGAAGTCAAAAGCCTGGACCCCAAATCGAAACTCCGTGCTGGCGTTACCCTCCTAAAAGGAAGATCATGTTGAAGTTGCATAAACCACAATACATTTTCATATGAGAATACTTGTGCACTGCTAGAGAATGCACAGCATTTCCATCTGGCAAATTTGCTTAATTGATTCAAGCTTTGATCACCTGAAAGAACAGACATCATTAGTACAAAGAGTGGTACCTCTTTTTATTAGTACAGACAATAGAAGATGCATAGCTTTTGCAATGAAAAATCATGTCCATGCTCTAAGACATCAGGTCAATGAAAGGTCCTCGCTGTCTGCCTTGGACAGAGGGGCAAACGTCACAGTGTAAACTGATAGCACAGGGAAGGATCCTATGGCCTTATTCATAAAGCTCCCTGCTTTATGATATTGTCAGACATAATCAGCAATAATTAAAACAGAACGCGTTTAACTGCAGAACAGTTTCAAGTATTCACTTTTTTTGGTTGTTTAAAACCATCTGCTTCCCCTGCTCCCCCAACTCCTTTCCCAGAGAGGCACCAGCCCCACAGGTGAAACTGAAGGATGCCTTTTTGCAGGAGACACCTGAAAAGTTCTTCTAATGCAGAAATGCCTTCCCAGAAGCAAGACCGATTTTTCTTATTGCAACAGACAGCGGTACAAATAATTTTACCTCTGTGAACATTACGAATACTTTTTCTTTTTTTAAAGTAATAAGTTATTGGAAGAGAAGTTGAAGAAAGTTTTCGCTATTTGTGGGAACAGGCGACGAAAGGAGACAGTCTCACCGTTGCATAGTTCTCCTCTGAGAAGAAGGTGAGGAGAATGCACCTAAACCATGTTGTTGGTAGGCAGCCTGACCCCCAAGGGGCAGCTCCTGTGGGTTAATCCAGGTTAAGGAGAGGCCTGTGGAACTCTCCTCCCATGAAACGCTGGTTTCGTGTGTTTCAGAGCTTTAGCAGCAATCAAGGTATTGACTTTAAAGTCTATAAAAGTCTACAGAGCGTCCGAGGCGGTCACCAGTTCAAACCACTGCCTGAGCGCGTCGCTGAGGGTCTCTGGAAGCGCGTTCACATCTCTCAGGATCATGTAGAAGGGGAATGGGAATTCTTCCATGTACGAGCGGATTTCAGGCAGTTCTCCAGGTCCTTTGAATATGGGTACTTTAATGTCCAAAATGGAATCCTGTAAAAAAGGAATTGACGGGATTACTAAACCAAATGCATCTTTTATGGGCCTTTGATATTATTTCCCCTATTTTTCAAACACTTATAATTCCTCCTCTGTTAAATTAAAAGTTAAGAGTTTTAATAAAACCCCTTTCAAGGGCAAATGAAATCAAAAGCTGAACACAAAGCAGTCGAATGCTTTTGCCCTTTTAGATCTGATCTTTTTAGTGCTCTGATCAATAAGGCTAGAAGAGACTAAGCTTAAGCTTCTGCAATACCAAGCTCTATAAATAAATCCCATCTTTCCTTAGTATTTTATGATTTGAATTTACTGTTATCACTTTATTTATATCACTTTTATTTATACATTTGATGCCTTTCTGGCACACTGTCATCTGTGAGCTCTTCAGGGCTAAGAGTCCAACCTGCATTTGTGCAGGGATCTAATCAAACAAGATTCTTCAGCAAATTATTTTATAATATTTCATCAAATACTACAAAGATAAAAATCAGAATACAAGAAATACAGCTGGAGTTTAATTAACTTTTTTGTTGCTCAGTGTAGCAGCTCAGAAAATTAATAAAGCTTATAAAAAAACGCATTTCACTGCCCAGAATTTTTGCTTGACATTATAGCTGAGTTTCATCAGAACCTTGTAACAGTTTGTCAGCAAGAAAAATGTTAATTTTTCAAAAATAAATACAACAGATGAGTTTTATATGGAAAAATAAAAATATAGGAAGAAAACATGAACTACAAAATTAGAGTCTTCACCTAATTTTGAAAGTAAGTTTGAATGAGCTTAAATTTGCTCACTTATTGCACTACAGAGTCTCCTGAAAAGCTCACAGATATTTCAGATTCCCAGCCAAGGAAATGAACAGTTTTCTTTCCCAGCTACCAAACACAGCACCTAGCTTTCCCAATTCAGGCACTAAGTAGCTCTCATATACTCCTTTCTGTCTAAGGTTTAATCTCATACTGGCTCCAGCTGCCACATCAAATGCAGACAGCTGCCAGAAATGATCATATTTAATCAAAATTGAGAAGAACAAAGCATGTCTCAAGACTTTGAATTTGTCAGCCTGCCAGCAACTTCTCTGGTGGCCAAAATCTACAACCATTACATTTGAAGACGAGCTCTTACTTAGACTTTCTGTGGCACAGAAGCTGAATTTATATTTTTTTTAAATACAAAAGAGACTAAACATCACGGTAGGGAGAAATCACAGATCTGACAGACATTATGAAAAACTGAAATTGGGCTAAATATCTTTGACTTCTCAAAAAGATAAGAGAGCTGTAAAGCACTAGAAAATACAAGAAAAAGATTTTATGTTTTTCATTCACTGCACTTGAATGATTCTCCCTTGTTCACTTACTTACCCGGGAATTAGGATTGTCCAACACGACGAAAATAACGAAGATATTGGCATTCCGAGCTGCTTGAACCGCTGCTGTCACTCGCTCCTTGCCCTCCAAGAAAAGGCCTCTTCCATCAGATACAATCAAAAGCAGCTGTGCTGTTTCTGAGCACAAAGAACATTTGACATTCCGGTAAATTAGAGCAATCCATGTAAAAGGCAAACAGACTATTTTGTTGTTAGTCCTGTGGGTATAATGGGAAAACCCTCAGAGTATCCCTAAGGAAATTAGGTCTTTATCAAATAGAATTCTGTGACTTTACATTAAGCTGCAGTTATGAGTGGGTCAAGAAAGACAAGTTTTTCCCAGTGTGAAACCACTGCGAACACACAGGACAGATGCTGGGGTCCTCAGCACCTTTTCTGGAGATGTGTACTTGACCCACATTGCCCCTAGAGTTGGAGATATATATGTAAATGGCTATTTTAACTAAGTTGTGTATCTATCACCTTTTAATTCTGAGGGAAATAACAGCAATTACAGTCAGGAATGCAAGTACCTCTCTCTTATGTTTCCCCCGTCCCTCAGCATAATGGCTGGGGGGATGCAGAAACGCTTCCTCCTTTTCTGCAGGTGGCCCCCAAACGTGACAGGGCTTGGTCTTTTTACAAAAAGGGGTGACACATCCTACTGCCTGTTCTCTTGCAGATTTTGGGGAGCCAACTGCTGCTCCCCAGATGCTGCTGCATCCCAGCCTGCTCCCCCTCAGAATATTCCCACATCCCAGCCACCCTGTGGCCAAGCAGCTGTGGATTAGAAATCCCAGATTGTCCATTTCTTTAACTTTAACAAGTTTAACTTTAACAAGAACTTTTTTAAAATATAGGTGCCACCATGACCAGCTTCTAACTAGCACAAAGCATCCTTGAAGGCCAACTATGGGTCAGCTGTGAGGTAACGAGTTTTCCAGCTTTGCTGGGAAATTCAAGCAGCTGCTGGCCCAAACTGGCACCACAGCCAGAGGCAGGCAGGAGGCAAACAACTTATCCCTCTCAGAAGAGCCTGCTTCTGGTACCCACAGAAACCAAGCTCTCCAGCAAGAGCAGAAGTGCAGAGGAGTCACGGTCA